TTCCCAAAGGGAAGGTGGTCCATTTTCAAGGGTGGTCCATTTTAAAGGGTCCTTGGGAAGGAGACTCGGCAAAGCCGTGAGCCATACAGTTACCCAGGGAAGGGCTTTCTTGGCCAGCCGAGCCAGCGCAACGGCCCTGAGGCAGAAGCCTGCCGAGAGCCAGTGTTTGGGGGAATTCAGCAAATACATTCCCAAGGTGGGAACATTTAGCACACGTCAGTTACCGTTGGATTCAACAGCCAGGAAGGTCGGCAAGCTTGAAAGTCTGCAGCACACAAGTAAAATAGGGTAAGGACGCTGGGCGTGTATAGACTCTATACTCAGTTGTTGAAACGGGCATTTTTAAGCCGGGACAGCTGTCCACTTACTCACGATAAGGCTAATCTCGGCACAGCTGGAGGGAATGTTCTCCAGCCCCTCACTGACTTTTGAAAATCAACATCAAAAAGATAACTGGAAAAGCCCCACATTTCTGGAAATTTAAAAACATACCTCCCTATAATGCATAGATTAAAGAAATAATTCCAGCAATTAGACAACATTTAGAAGAGATTTTGCATCAAAACCAGGGAGACAGGCCTGAAGCAGCACAGACCCGAAGAGAATTTATGGTCTGCATGTTTACATGAGAATACAGGCAAGGGGCCTTCTCACAGGATGTAAGCAGTGCAAGAGGAGGTCACCCGGAAAACGGCGGTGGGAACAGGCGTCCCCCCCTGGCCCTGCCGAGACCCTGCCAAGACCCTGCCGCCATCCCCACGCCGGCTGGCGTCCCGCCTGACCCCAGCCCTCCTGCCTCCCCTGCAGCCCGCCGGGGTCCACCTGACCCCGGTGCCCCCTGCCTATGCCGCCCACCCTTGGAGGCCGGCTCCGGGGGCGGGTGGAGGGCGGGAGGTCTCTGCGCCCAGGGACCTCCGGGGGGCAGAGGCCCGGCCTCTCCCACAGGCGCCTGCACCCACAGCGCTCGGCCTGATTCTGGGAGGGTCCCAGCTGGACTCCAGGGCCCCTGTGAGTGGACGTACTGTCCAGCCGCATCCCCGTCTCTCACTCTGCAGCGGCAGAGAGTGGGGTTACTGCACACACACCGCCCCCCTGCGGCTCTGGTCCCCGGCCCCTCCTGTGTCCTGATGTGGATGCTTCCCACCTGGGGCCCCACGCAGGTGTGTGGGCCTGCTCCCCTGTGATGGGGACGGAACCAGCCCCTGAGGTTGCTGCCCAATAACCCCGGCCCATTCTGGACTCTGCTGAGAACTTCTCGGGGAGGGGACCTAGAAGTCAGGGCAGGGCTTTACACAACAGCGGGACCCAGAGCCCTTCAGAGCCATTGCTGGTGCGGCTTTCTGGGAAGCAGAATGGGGGGAAATACGCCCCAGGAGGAGGGATGTTCAAAGTGCTGTTACATCTGAACTGTGTCACCCAAAGTCATAAGTTGTAGTCCTATACCCTGGACCTCAGAATGGGACCGCAGTTAGAGACGAGGCCTTTACAGAGGGGCTGGAGGGAACACAGGGTCACCGGGGTGGGCCTGATCCGGCGGGGTCCTTATGAGGAAAGGGGATCGGGGCACAGACCCACATGGAGGGACGACCCCGGGAGGACCCAGGGAGAGCAGGGCCGTCCACACACGAGGACAGAGGCCTCAGAGGGACCCCGCCCTGCCCGCGCCTGCATCCTGGGCGTCGGCCTCCGGGACGGGGGACAGTGCATCCTGCTGTGTGAGCCCCGTCCGTGGTGTTTGCTATGGTCGCCCCAGCAGAATAATACAAGTGACACCAGGTACCACACGCAGGGAACCACAAAGGGCTCAGCTTCTCTCAAAGGTGACTGGAGGGTCTGGGGGCGGCAAGTGGGTGTGTCCACTGGAATCATTGTAAGAGACAAAACTGCTTTGCCAAGTGGAGGGTGCTGGCCAAGGGGGGGATCCAGAGAGAGGACAGACAGAGCGAGACAGAGAGAGACAGAGACAGAGAGAGACAGAGACAGAGAGACAGAGAGAGACAGAGAGATGGAGAGAGACAGAGACAGAGACAGAGAGACAGAGAGAGACAGAGAGATGGAGAGAGACAGAGACAGAGAGACAGAGAGACAGAGACAGAGAGACAGAGAGACAGAGAGACAGAGAGACAGAGAGAGACAGAGACAGAGAGACAGAGAGACATAGAGACAGAGACAGAGAGACAGACAGAGACAGAGAGACAGAGAGACAGAGAGACAGAGAGAGACAGAGACAGAGAGACAGAGAGACAGAGAGACATAGAGACAGAGACAGACAGACAGAGACAGAGAGACAGACAGAGACAGAGACAGAGAGACAGAGAGAGACAGAGACAGAGAGACAGACAGAGATAGAGAGACACAGAGACAGAGACACAGAGACACAGAGAGACAAGGACAGAGAGAGAGATAGAAAGAACTTGTGTGGCGCCTGGGGGCTGAGGGGGGGTGAGGTAAGTGCCTGCTTTTTCCCTGTAAACCTCCAGCATTATTTGACCTTTTAAATACAAGCATACAAGAATTTTTCTTGCTTTATTTCCCTCATAACTGGAAGTTGGTACCTTCTGATCACCTTCACCACGTCCCGCCCCCACCGGCCCCTGCCTCTGGCAAAGAGCTGTTGGCTCTCTGTGTCCACGAGTTTATCTCTGATTTAAGATTCCACATATGAACGCCGTCATACGGTATTAGTCTCTGGCCTGTTTTGCTCAGCCTGACACCCTCAAGGTCCATCCACATTGCTGCAAATGGCAAATTTTGATAACATCTGCAAGTGATAAAATGCTGCAGACGAACATCCAAACAGGCGTCCAGGCTCCGGGTGACCATCAACCTGTCCCTGCAGCCAGCGGCCCAGGAGTCTGGCTGCTGCCCACAATCCCAGGGCACGCCACCCACTGCACGAGCCTCGGGCACGCAGGAGGGCCGGCCCAGCTATAATGCTGGCCCCCAACAGCCAGGGCCTCATCCGTAGCTGACAACTGTCCTCACTGTTGTCCAGTGCCCCGCGGCCAGGCCACCCCCTCCAGCCCCTTCAGGCACAGCTGAGCCTCCTGTTCCCCTGAGTGAGTCGACCCCCTGGTCCTGGCAAGCTGCTGCCACAGGCGGCCTGTCCCGACTTGCTCGCACAAGGTCGAGCTTACAAAGGTAACAGCCAAGCCAGACCCCGGCCCACATCCCTGCCAGCCTGAGACCATTCTCAGCAAAGGGCTCCCCACCGAGCCCTGTCCTCACTGCGGCTCTGGCCTTACAGCCCCTGTCGGACCTACAGCTGGCCCCTAGAACTGCCCTGTGCAGATCCAGCTACACCATCAGCCTCCCGCTGTCGGGGCCACATCCAACGTTTTCACACGTGCCATAAAATTCATGTTCATCCTGTGGTCCCCACCCTCCCGCACCCCTGCCCAGCCCACCGCCCTGTGAGGGTCCCACAACCCTGCCCTGGGGTCGCCCCATCTGCCTGGACCTTGCCCTGCGCTGGCTGGGATGCATCTGCCAGCTCATCTGCGGGCAGCCCGGGATCGAAAACCGAAGCTGAATGATTTGAGACTCACTGCTTTTCCCACAACAACATCTTGAGCTTCCTGGCTAGCAGGGCAAAGAGGGAAACCCTCTGGCTACATACTATTCATGGCCTCAGAGAGAAACCAGACCAGACCGGTGGCAGATGGCAAGAAAATCCTCACGATCCCAGGACCGTCAGTGGGGTGGGTTTCATTCATACTCACAACATCATGGCCCAGCGGCCAGTCTCCCCCTGAGGCCACGCAGATGCAGGGCCGTTACAAGCACAGCCTGCAGACTGGACTGTCTGCCCCTGAAGTCGGGCTCCTGCGGTGTCCTGGGCTCTGCACCTCACCTGTAGAGTGGGGTGCACAATGCCTTGCAACCCCAGCGCCATGGGGATGAGCTTAGTTAACAAGGCCAAGGGCCAGGTCTGTGCTGTGCTCCCCCTCCCCGAGTGACTGCGTGCCGGGTGTCAGGTGGTCTCCTCAGGAAGGCGGCTGCCCCAGGCCCACGGAGCCCAAGACCTCAACAAAGTGCCACGGCCAAGCTTAAAGGTGGCCTCATGGATGGTGCAAGGACGCCACCTCCCGGCAAACTGCATCTATAGCAGCATTGATGTGGGAAGCCCCTCCTCCCAAAAGTCCCCAGCGGAGGAAGAAAAACAGGCTCTTCGGAGCCCAGAGTCCATGCCTTCTGAGGGGGCGGGCGTGGGGGGCAGCGGGCAGGTGGGGGTGAGATTGCAGGGGACTGTGCACTGTGCCCCTGAATGATGGGATCCCGTCAGCGCACTAATTGGTGCTTCAGAGCAATTAAGTGCAAATTCCTGTCCCTGCAAACATGACCTTCAAAGGCCTGGGCAAGGGTGTGGGGCAGAGCAGAAGAGGACGAGGGAATGCTCAGGCTTCAAGCCCTGGCCCCTCCTGCCCTTGCAGCTCTAGCTACAAACCCTTTAGAAGCACGGCTGCCTGGAGCCCGTCCCCCTAAAGCCAAGATGGGGAGCAGGTCTGGGCCAGGTACACACCCAGCTCAGCTGAGTTATAGAAAGATGGTCCTGCTCTCTCCACCCATCAAGTTCTCCTGCTCTCCAGGGTCAATCTCACCCTCGCTCTGGATCCCCTGAGACAATCCCTGATGGCCTGGGGTCCCCTCAGGACTATGACCACAGGAACAGACACAGGCCTCCGGCTGAGTCTCCAGATGGGCCTGGACCATCTCCCCCATGACAAGTGGGCCTGGAACCAAGTCAGAGCAAGACGCAGTGCTCCTAAGTAAAAGTGCAAAACAACACAGAGAAACAGTGGACGTGTTCAAATGTTAAGAAAATAAAATTTCCCTGGGGGAGCGGCCCAAGCGGGGACCAGGAAGGGACCATGTGCTCAGCATCTCACTTGACCCTACGGCAGGTGCATAAAGGACCTCAGCCCAGGAGGCTCCACACCTGAACACCTGTCCTCTGCACCTGCTCCTCTGACCTGCTCCACCCTCAACCCACCAGAACCATGGGCTGCTGTGGCTGTTCTGGAGGCTGCGGCTCTGGCTGTGGGGCCTGCGGCTCTGGCTGTGGGGCCTGCGGCTCCGGCTGTGGGGGCTGTGGGGGCTGTGGGGCCTGCGGCTCTGGCTGTGGAGGCTGTGGCTCCGGCTGTGGGGGCTGTGGGGGCTGTGGGGGCTGCGGCTCTGGCTGCTGTGTGCCCATCTGCTGCTGCAAACCCATGTGCTGCTATGTGCCAGCCGGCACCTGCTCCAGCTGTGGCTCCTGTGGGGGCTCCAAGGGGGGCTGTGGCTCCTGTGGGGGCTCCAAGGGGCGCTATGGCTCCTGTGGGGGCTCCAAGGGGGGCTGTGGCTCCTGTGGGGGCTCGCAGTCCAGCTGCTGTGTCCCCGTCTGCTGCCAGTGCAAGATCTGAGACCATGGCCACGGACCCCAGGTGGTCAGCGAATTGGCTGCACTCTCCAGGCAATGCCCCTGCTCAGCCCTAGCCCCATGGAGCACCGTTCTTAGCCTGCTATCGCCTCTGGAGTAGGACAGTCTGCATCTCTTGAACCAGAAACAGAGTCCCCCACTCGTACTCTTGGCTTCACCCTAGAAATCTGCTCCCCATGCACCTCTGCTTTTGCCCCCCACCACGGGATCCTGAGGATGGGTGTTCCTCCTCTGCCTGTCACTGCTGCCACACCGCTAGCTGGGACCAAGACGACCCTGGCCCTGCGTGCCCTACCCGAGGAGGGCCGCGTCCAGTTTCGAGGCCAGGCAGCAGTGGGCACAGGTCCACCCCAGACCTGAGTGCCTCTCTCCTATGAAGCCCAACTTTCCCCAGCACTCAGGAGCTGTCCGCCCGGTGGGTATCTCTGCATATTACCTTTGTTATTCGTGATCTGCTACCATCCAGCTGGACTCTGTGTCCCTCTAAATAAAAACACCTCCCCCCTCGGTACCTCTGCTTTCTGTGGTTCTTCTCTCTCTAGTGGGCACGGGGCAGCCTCCTAAGAGCTGCCTCATTTGGCTTCAGCCTCGTGCTGCCTCTACCGTGGCCCAACCCCTCCTCTGGGTATCTGCGTATTCCCAATATGCATGATGTTGAGGGACCTCTTGCACATGGGTATTTCTCCTGGTCTTGAAAGAGGCCCAGGGGCCCTGAGAAGCAGCCATCCTCTCCAGACAGCGTCAGCTCTGCCTGGCCAAGATCAGGGTCCACACACCCTACCCTCCTGACCCAACCACCTGAGAGAAAAGGGGGCAGACAGACTATATGGACAAAAAGCTCAGTCTCAGTAAACCCTGTATCATCTCATGGTCCAGACAGCCCTGCTGTGGGATAGCAGAGCCACGTCTCAGAGTGACCTGGGAGTGGGCCACGGTACCCTGTGTGTTTGGTCAAACAGCAGTCTAGACATTGCTGTGAAGGTATTTTGTAGATGTGATTAACACTTAAATCACTGGACTTTGAGTAAAACTGATCACCTTCCATAACGTGGGTGGGCCTCATCCAATCAGGTGAAGGCTCTAAGAGTAAAGACTGAAGTTTCCCAAGAAGGAAGGAATCCCCTCTAGACGGTGACTTGGAGACCTTGCCTGAGCTGCATGCCTGCCACCTGCCCTACACATTTTGGACTTTCCAGCCCCCACAGCTACGTGAGTTAGTTCCTTAACATAAACCTCTTTACACACAGACACTCATCCGATTGGTTGTGTTTCTCTGGGTGCAGGTGCAGCCCCCACAGCAGAGGTGGGCAGTGGCCCTGCTGGTCGCTCCTGGGTTATAAGTGATGGTGGCATGCCACAGTGCGGCAGGGGTTGGTGAGAGCACCTGGAAGCTAGCCAAGACCCAAACGATTTGTGACAATGTCTGAGACCCTTCATGACCCCCCAGAAATAGCCCGGGGCGGGGGGCTGCTGGATTGGTCTGGCATTTCTGTGTCTCATTGTTATTGGGACATAATTTCTACCAAGGCTAGTGGGACCTGAGCACCATGACCTCAAGGGGTGAAGAGTGGTCCCCAGACACAGGGGGCCCATGGCACCACCCCCTTACCGTTATCAAGGGTCCCAAAGCCCTTTTGCTTATGTGGGTCAATGTGTTTTAGGACCGTGGGAATTAGCGCTGGCCAAGTTTTAGAGTATTTGTTTTACAAGTTTGTTTAAGATAACACTAATAAGGAGGTCAGAAAGTGCTGATTTCTGGTTACAAGACAAGCAAGTCTTGGGGAACATGACGCACAGCATGGCGACAATCGTTCACCATGCTGTGCTCGGTGTCACAGAGTTGCTGAGAGTAGATCTGAACCGTTCTCATCACAGGGAAGAAAATGTGCAACCAGCGTGGTGACGGATGTGAACTGAATTCATTGTAGTGATTATTTCACAAGGTATCCAGATCATCATGCTGTACATTGAAACTTATAAATGTTATATGTCAGTTATAGCTCAATATAACTTGGGAGAAATAAAATTAAATTTCACAAGCAGGGAGTTTATTTCCCTCATAATAAAAGGTTAACACTGAAAAAATAAAAAATAAATAAAATAACATGAGTAAACCCAATACATGTAAACACACATGACACGTTTTTTTTAAAAAGTCATTGCCTCTTCCTCCCTACCAAAAAAGGGTAAGAGGACATAATGGTGGACAGCTAGACGCTCATCTGCCTCTGTTATCATCATTGTGTGCCAATACCCCCCATCATATAGCTTCTGGAAAATTCCTCCGTTCACTCATGAAAGACAGAAAGGGAAACCAGGGTGAAGATAGTGTTGACGTCCCGGACACCCTGGCACGGTGCCAGGGACCCCGGTTTGAGAAACACTGGGCAGTGGCGAGGATGGTGGGTTCTGGAGCCCGAGGCCTGGAGTCAAGTGTCAGACCCACCACGGAGTCGCTGTGTGAGCTTGAGAAATGGCATCACGGCCTCTCCCCCACAGGGTTATGGCGCCAAGGAGAAGCCGACCGGGAGACCGCAGCCGTGACCAGTCTGCTCGCATGGAATCACAGAACAACCAGCAGCAGGGGGACCGGCTGAGCAAAGAAAGCGACATCCTAAGGTGGGTAGCCCACCAGCGAGAAGGAGGCTTTAGAACAGTACCCCGACATATGTCAGGGAGTGCCACACCATGAAGAGGGGCAGGCAGGTAGCTATGGGAGTAGGGGTGCCAAGGGCTGTGGTCACACGCACCCAAACCAGGGCCCGGAGGGCCTTCGGCAGGGAGAGCGGAGGGCCATGTGCTAGGCAGAGGCCCAGGTTCCCATCAGGTCCCCCCACTCATGCGTTCCCCGGGCAAGGCCTCCCGTGTGCCGAGTCCTCCCCACCATCCTCCTCACTTCCCTCCGAAGGCACCTCACCGGTCACCTCCCTCTTCAGCCTGGCTCCACCCAGGCCCTTGGATATGGTTTTTTCCTCTTTGTTGACTTGTGTCTTCCATCGTCCATCAAAACATAGAGAGACACCACACCGTGCAGTGACCAGCCAGAGCCTGGGCATCTTCCTTGGTGCCTGTTCCCACCGCTGCCACGTTATGGGGCTGCACGCAGCCACGGCGCGGAGGACAGGCGCATTCAGTAAAACGTGACCATCCCCTCCTGGGGCTGCTCTCACTGCGGCTAGAGACAGCAAGCGACCTCTCCCGTCTGGAGGCCATCAGGTGTGGGCCAAGCTCCAGAGGCTCTGGGGGAGGACGCTTCCCGCCTCCTCCAGCTCCTGGGGCTCCAGGCATCCCTGGGCTGGTGGCTGAATCTCTCCTGTCTCGACTCTGTGGTCACATGGCCCCCTGTGTGTCCGTCTCTCCTCTTCCTAGAAGGACACTGGTCCTGTTGGATCAGGGCCCACCCTAGTGACCTTGCCTTCATTCGCTTATATCCGCAGAGACCCTATTTCCAACTCAGGTCACACTCCCAGGCGCTGGGGGTTCGGACTGAAGCATACATTCTGGGGGACACGACCCAAGCCCTCACTCCATCCCATCAGGCTTTATTGGGCTCCATTGTAACCACTTATTAAGAACTCTAGCCAGGTGTGTTGTTTACTTTCCTAGACCACAAAGACTTGAAGCCAGGCTGGGGTGGAGGCCCAGGGTGCCGGGGGAGATGCGGGCCTGGGAGTTTGCACCATCCTGGGGGGAGGGGTGGCTGCCCTCCCTCTCCACCCACATCCCTGCCCTGGGCATAGCCCGTGCAGGTTTTACATCCCAGGTGGAGAAACAAACAGGAAAAAACCACAGACAATGTTACAAAGCCTGTCACCCCATGAGAATAAAGAAAGCAGGTGGGGAGCAGAGGGATGGGGGGAGGGTCGCATGGAACTGTTGTCCTAGCTCACAGCCGACCACTGCACCTGCAAAAGTGCACCCTTGTGCATGTTCCCAGGGGCAGAAAGGATGGATTGCAGGCAAAAGGCACAGAAAAATAGCTTTTCGGTTGACATCAGCCCAGATCAGGAAGCACTGAGGGAACAAGACAGATGAAGGTCTGGGGGGCGATCTGTCGCACGGCAGAACTTAGGCTGGCATCTCCTTTACATGAAGAACACCTGCAAACCTGTAAACATGAACAAATAAAACACAAAAAGCATACAGGTAGAGTGTCCATAGTGAGAGAGACAGAGACAGGGAGAGAGAGACAGAGAGACACCAAGGGAGAGACAGGGACAGAGCGCGCCACCTGCGATACACATGGGGTAGGGAGCTGCGAGGGGGCCCCAGAGGAGGCAGGCTGCAAACTAGGACCCACTGCACACTCCTCCTTCCCAGAACGTTCTCCTGGGCGCCTGGCTGGGGTGGCGGGCAGACTGAAGCCAGGGCTGGGCGGCTCCCGTTATCATCGGCCACACTGTTCGTTAGAACGTGCACAAATGACTGAATGAGCAGACGTCTGTCAAGAGCAAATTCCAAGTGAATAAAGTGGCTACCACCCCGTCCTCTGTGCCACCTCGCACTGGGGTGCCTGGAGCCCCGGCCTCTCCCATGGAAACACCTGTTGCCACCACACCCGGGGGAATGAGTGGGGTGGCCTCCACCGTGTTTGACGGGGGGATGTTTGGACTTGAAACGCACCCTGTTTCAGCAGGAGGAGGGGAGCTGGCCGCATCTCTCCATGGAAGAGCCGCAGAGACTGAGGCCGTGGACTGCGGCTGGGGCTGCGTCCCCTGGGAAAGCCCAGGGGCCACTTCGGGGTAAGCGAATCACGGTGTGCCCACACCATGGGACAGTAGTGCTTTGAAGATAAAAAACATGCATGCACAACCAGAAGACCAGCACCTAGCGGCCCCTGGACTGTCCTTGAGGAGCTGCTTTGGGGTCTTGCGTGGCCTGGGGAGGGGAGGAGAGAAGCAGCTGAATGTGCAGGTGGACTGTCTTCTTGAAAACTGCACGAGCCAACCCGGGATCGCCCCTGGGCTGGGGTGCAGACCTCTC